TGTGTGTGAATCTGTGTATGTGTATGTGTGTGTGTGTGTGTGTGTGTGTGTGTGTGTGTGTGTGTGTGTGTGCGTGTGTGTGTGCGAGAGAGAGTGTGTGTGTGTGTGTGTGTGTGTGTGTGTGTGTGTGTGTGTGCGCGCGCAGTGTTTTCACAGGGAGTTGTGCAGAGTTGTATGGAGGTCACAAACTGCACTGTACAGCTTCAAAACTTCAGACAGAAATCCACCACGCAGGACACACATCAGTAAGACACCCAAACACACGTCCGACTGTCAGTCTGTCTCTCTCTCTCTGTCTGTCTCCCTCTCTCTCTCTGTGTCTGTGTCTGTGTCTGTCTGTCTGTCTCTCTCTCTCTCTCTGTCTGTCTGTAATCCCCACAGTTATCATTGTATTTTATTCCTCCTACACCAATAATAAGGCTGCGTTCAAATAGTCCTTTTTGCTTAGGAAGTTTCCTTACTGAGAGAAATTATCAAGAATGTTATTGAGGTCAAGAATTGTTTTGACCGTTATAATATATAAAATGCCACCATGTTGTATAGGTAAACTTAGTTAACAAAACATTGAGAGTTTACAAGTTTTGTACCAGGTGTTGGCAGAATTTATATTCCAACATCGACCATCAATGTCTTGACTAATTAACAAAGTTTCATGGAAAATTAACTGTTAGTGGATTCATGACCAAACACAAGTGTCTGTCAACAAATGAAATACCTAAAATCTACTCGATGGGAATATTTCCTTAAAGCAATATCTAAAAGTGCTTTATGGAACGACACTTTCCAGAAAACAGAGAACCTGGGTACTTTCAGAATGTCCCCTACTGCAGTGATTTAATCCTTTTGTAATTCCTTTCCTTACAGAGAAGGCTAAGACTCAGCCTGCGGTGGACGTCTCTAAACTCCTGGAGCAAATCTTCTCTTATCACAGGCCGGGATCAACGCCTCCTGCTGCTCAAGGTCAGCATTAAAGGAGTTGAGTAGAGAGTGAGGGGTGAGAAAGAAAAAAGCTTCAGTCATTGAAAACAACAAACACTATCACAGATTTCTTTTATCTTGTCAACAAAGCAGAAAAAGCTGGTTTCGGATTTATACTGGATCATTTTCCCTCATTCTTCCAGTAGTGTAGAAATCTACGTTAAGAGGGTTTAGTTTCTGAGAATTTGTACGAGTCACTTCTTTAAGACTTGTTCATGCACCATTTTTGGCTACCTGTATTTCAGACATTGATGACATTACGTTTAGCTGAAGCTTTATCCAAAGCAACTTATAATCAAAGCAATTTATTATGATGACAGATTCAACCCAGGCAAGATTCCTAAAACTGCATTAGCCCCATATAATCCAAGGCTTTTGAATTACTACAACACATATACATTTTTTAATCAGTCTGTATCTCGGCCATGTTAGATAAGGTTACAGTATGTACATTTTAGACAGGAACATATGGGAAAAGCACATTCAACTCCAAATAACATGTTAATGAGTTACTGAGTCAACACACTCTTATTACCCTGAATCTGTCAAACATACATTTGTACTGCTTTGTTTCCGACATGTTTTGTTCTATGTTTTCCCCCTTCTTCTTGCCCCTTTTATCTCATTTTGTTCCTCTTCTCCACTTCCCCACAGCTCGGCCTACCACACCTCCCACCACCACCACCACCTCAAATGTTCCTAATTGTTCAAAGAGAGAACCAGCAGTCTCTCCTGCTTCTTCTACTACCAAACAAGTTTCTGATGATCTTTCCAAAGTGACTGTTCCTGCTAGCAGCACAACATCTGCAGCATTAGCATCAAACACTTCTGTAATAGAAAGCCACACTTTGACTGAAGCAAAGGAAACTAAAGAGGAAACTGACTCAGTCCTGCTCTCATCAGCACACACACAAGAGAAGAACATCGAGGCTTCATCTTCTTCAGCTCTTACTGTAGAAACCTTGATAGAAACTGCATTAAAATCAGTAGAGCCTGAAATGTCTCCTGTAGAAACACTAGAAGCTAGACCTGCTATTGCTGAGGGTGCAATAGATGCTCCAGCTGAAAAAGTTACAGAGTCAGAGGTCTCNGTGTGCCTTGGCAGTCTCAGTCTCCTGTAGAAACACTAGAAGCTAGACCTGCTATTGCTGAGGGTGCAATAGATGCTCCAGCTGAAAAAGTTACAGAGTCAGAGGTCTCGTACACTACCAAGGAAGAACTTATATTAGAATCATCAGTAGAAATAATCAATTCTCCCGTGGAAACACTCGAAACTGGAGCTGTCGTTGCTGAAACTTCAATAGAAACAACTCAAAAAGTAGAAACTAACACCACAGACTTGGGTTGTGGTAACCTCTCACACACTGCGGAAGAAACACCTTTAATAGAAACAACAGAATCACCAGTAGAAGCCAACCATGTTGCTTTGGAATCACTAGAAACAATACCTCATGTTGTTGAGGGTCCAGTAGAGCCTACAATAGACGTCACAGTACATGTAGCATCTCCAAATGTAGAAACCCAAAGCACAGACTCGGGTTCTGTTAACCTCTTGCACACAGATCAAGAAGAACCTTTAATAGAAACCAGTCATTTTACTTTGGAAACAATAGATACTCAAGCTGCTGTAGGTTCAATAGAAACAACAATAGAGGCCAAAGCAGACACAACAACTCAACAAATACAAACCAACAGCACAGTCTCAGATCCTATAAACATCTTGCCCACTGACAAAGACCACACTTTAATAGAAACAGTAGAACCACAAGTAGAAACAAGCCACTCTCCCGTAGAAACACTAGAAACTGAAGCTGCTGTTCTTGAGCATCCAGTACAGAGTTCAATAGATGTCACAGTACATGCTGAGAAAGTAGAAACCAAAAGCACGGACTCAGGAGTCTCATACAGCACCAAAGAAATAGAAACAATAGAACCAGTAGCAGCCATACTTTTCCCATTTGAAACACTTCAAACTCAAACTGCTGATGCTGAAGGGTCAGTAGAAGCTACAGTAGAGACTGAAGCAGAGAAAGCTACTCTGGAAATGCAAAACAACAGCACAGACTTGGGTCTTGTTAAACTCTCACACACTACCAAGGAAGAACCTTTAATAGAAACAATAGAAGCCCACAATCTTTCATTTGTAACACTCGAAACTGAAGCTGCTGTTTCAGAACATCCAGTCGAAACTACAGTAGATGTCACAGCACAAGTAGAGGACCTACAAGTAGAAACCAAAGGCACAGACTCGGGTCCTGATAACCTCTCGTACACTGCCAAAGAAGAACCTTTAATTGAAACAATAGCCTCACCTGTAGAAGACAGCCATGTTGCATTGGAAACACTCGAAACCGAAGCTGCTGTTTCAGAACATCCAGTCGAAACTACAGTACGAGTCAAAACCCAAAGTCCAGACTCGGGTCCTGATAACCTCTCGTACACTGCCAAAGAAGAAGCATTAATAGAAAGGACAGTAGAGACCTCTGCTTTTTCTGAAGGTCCGATTGAGCCCACAATAGAAACTGAAGAAGCTGAACACCTCTCACATGCTGCCTTAATCCTAAATGCACGACACTCCGTTCCTTTGAATAATAAATCAAATGTAGAATCATGCTCGGTGAGTGTAGACGAGGCTCTGCTGATAGCGTCTTTAAAAAACAAAGAGCTCATCCTAACAACATTTTCCGTCGAAGGAGAACAGCTGAAGGAGATTGGAGCGAATGACAAAGCTGCCGTGACAGAAACGGAGAGTTTAAGCGACGATGAGCGAGACGTTTTAACCCAAGTTCCTTCCTCTGTTTCGGAGGATCTTCACGGGTTAAAAGGAACTAGTGGCATGTCAGTGAAGGAGCTTCTCTGTCATGTTCCTGCTGAGCTTTCCAAAACTCCTGAAGCTAAAGGAGAGCACACAGAGGAAGAGGAAGCCATGACGCTGGAATCGATAACTTTAGCAAAAGTCATGGAGGGATTCGGAGGTCTTGAAGATCTGTTAGAAACAAGGAATGCACTGGAGGAAGGAGCTGAGGCACTCGCCAAAGAGGAGGAGATGAGAGTTGAGACCACACAAGAGGACGTTGTTGTTTACGAGGACACGTCAGAGGAAGACATTTTAACATTAGAGTCTATCTCTGAAGCTACAGATGCAATAGAAGCTGAGACCGCTGTCATGCTGGAGGCCATACTTGGTCTTAAACAAGCAGCGAGGCAGCACGAAGAATGGCAAAATGGTGAATCTATTGTCCAGGAAGCAGAAAAGGAGTCCGTAGAGAAGCAAGCGAGCGCGTTGGAGGCTATGGCTGAAGTTGAGGCGTCTCTGGAAACGCTGGAGAACGAGTCTCTGAGCGAAGCCACCGATAGTCTGCAGAGAGAAGCTGATTGTGGAGAGATGGAGGATATGGAGGCTATGGAGGCTATGGAGGCGACTGAGACCCTGAAGATGTCTGAAGATCTGCAGAGAGATGTCCTGACGGAGAAGCGGTTCATTTCTGTTTCTGGACACGAGGAAGGAGTAGGCCCTGTTGGTCAGGAGGTCATAAGAGCGGATATTTTGGAGGGTAAGTCTGACTCCTGAAGTTGTAGAGGAACAGGTAATGAAAAGGGGAGTAGTAAGAAGATATTAGAGATGCAACAATGAATATGCTGAACGTTGGAAAAGGTGTTTTTTTTTTACGTGTTTTTTATTATTTCGGCTTGGCTGTTTGTGTAAGGATGTTACAACCTACATAACAACGAGTCATCTTCAAGGATTCAAGGCTTTTTGTCACGACCTTAACACAAACTGGAGAACCCAAAAGCACGACCCAGAGACAGTCTTGAATGTAGCAAAAAGTGTCTTTTTGATTTCAAGCAAACAGAAAATCCCTCTTAACAGAGTAGGTACTGGATTAAACAAAAAGCGCTCACAAGGAGGAAAAAACAAGCGTAAAAAAAAGAGAATTTAAGATTAACTTAAAGGTGGGGTAGGTAAGTTTGAGAAACCGGATCGAGATACACTTTTTGTTATATTCCATGGAATGCTCTTAACATCCTGATAGCAATGAATATCTGAAGTGCTTTGACAAAAAATCCATTAAAACATTTCATCTGTGTGGAAGCCGTAGCGCTGTAAAAAGCACGACCAATCATCTGAGACGGTCCGGCTAAAGTAACTGGATGGCCTACCTGCCTGTCAGCCTTCCATCTGTGCACAAACTTATCTCGAGCCCTCATTGGTCATGTGCGTGTTCGTGTGTGTTGGAGGAGGGGCTCTGTAAGGAAGTCTGAAGGAAGGGGCAGATTTTTTTCCGGTTGTGTATTCTCAAATTCTAGAGCACTCGAGCTGCTTTCTCCATTCTTACCTACCCTACCTTTAAAGCATGGGGACATGTCTAGAGACACTACATACTGATATACACCGGAAAATGTGCAGAATATGGTCCCTTTAATAATCTTTAATAAACTGCCTATCTACTTT